CCAATTCAAGCACAAGCTGGTGTAAGAAACTCAAGCACTCAGAACAGAACCAAGCCAGAAAAAAACCTCACATCAAAAAAAAAACCAAACAAGGCAGTATCATAATGAATGGGGTCACCAAAGCTTACGTCCTTAGAAAGTTCGGCAGAGACCAAGGAAAGACTGTCATGTAACCCAAAATGTTACTATATTCCGTATCTATTCATGCCCAAAAATTGTTATGGCCTTTTTTAAGATCCAGTGCATCCAGAACCGGAACCGCAGGGCAGAGGGGGCATTGCTGCAGTCCCTTTTTAAGTTGGAGTTGGGAAATGGGGAACAAACTCACTGCTGGCAGCATGTGCTGAAAGTGGAGGCTCCGCTTTGGAGGGGTTACTTTGGGAGGTTGTTTGCAGTTTTTTCCTTGCAATAGTAGCCATTGGGGAAAACTGCATTTCACAATCAAAAACTGTTTTGGAGTGAACTTTGCAAAGCCAGCTGGTTGCTGGGGCCCAGTCACCTCATACCAGGGCTGACAGACCAGTTTCTTCCCCGCAACATACCCACAGTTCAGAGACATCAGCACCAACATCATCAGAGTCTGGTGGGCAGTGGTGCTGACCCCACAGGTGCCAGCACTTCTCATGTGCTGCTAGAAACGCTGCATAAGCTCCTGCCTTCCCCAGGGTTTGCTACCATCCCTCCATTTCGTCTCCCAGGCCGCACGATCACCTGCAAAGGCGCCATCTCGGGGGCAGGGTCTGCCACCACTTTCCCTTTCTCTCCCTACAGTGGTCACTCATGGTGGGCACCATCTTGGAAAGGGTATTTTTGCCATTTTGGGTCTCTCTATGTTCTGGCAGAGTTTGTGAGATTTAGCAATTTTCTGTCTAGTGGTTATTTACCATTATTTTTCCCTTTTGCAGTCTCATTTGTTAGTAAACTGTTATTTTTTTCACTTACATCTACTTGCATTTTGTTTCTCCTTATTGATAGAAAGGGATTGGTGAAAACAAAGGAGAACTCATTTAAGAGTGTTCCCCTTTAAATTGTCTTAAACCAAGACAAAGATTTGGTCAAGAAAACTACAATATTCAATCAGACTTGGATACAAAGAAAAACAGGAAAATATGTGTCAGGTATATATTTGAGAAGGGTCTACTCGTAAGTCAATTATGTTCTACATATAAGAAGCTTTAGAAAAGGTTCCTGAGAGAAACAATGTATTCTGCCATATACAGAAGAACTGAACCAACTAAAACAGTAAACAGTTAAACTGAAGTACTAGAGTATCAGTTTGGGTACGAATTTAACTCTCAGAAGTTGGACTTTTCAGAACAAGTCTTTGAAAAAATAATTTTAAAGGTCTAACTTACATTTTGTCACTATAAATAGGTCGTTCTAAGGTGATTTGTATCTAGAAGATTCTATTTGTAGGCAGCTCTTACTACCATTTAAGAGAGAAACATGCACTGAAAAAAAGGATTTCAACTTTCTCAGAACATTTCCTGCAACGGCCTAAAACCAGTCCTAAAATGGCTCATTCAATTTAGACATTAGCTCTCATTGAGAAGAATAGTACCTCAGAAGGACATGAGTCCATAGCTGAAGGGAAAGCTGAAGAATATAATACAAAAATAGTAAAGAAAACCAAAAATAATTAGCAAATAGAAAAATTCAGGAGAGAAACTAAACAGAAAAGGTGATACACTTCAACAGAAAAGCACAACATTGAATATACAGAATTATCAGTCCAGTGGCGTATGTGTGAAAAAGATCAAAGGAACTACGGATCACTGATCCAATATTGGCAGAGATTTATTGTGCTTAGTGCTCAAAATCACATTTTGATAATCCTCAGGTCATCCAAATACCCTGCTGTTAAATGGGAACATGTTAGGAGACAACTCCTGAGGATGTAACAAATACCTTAAGAATAAAGAAATGAATAATACATTGGTAATTGCCAGGCATGAAATACAAAGCACAGCATTAACAGAAAAAGAACAGCAATTGGATATCCAAGTTTTTGCCAAATAACTGGATTTTAAGCAAAGTAGACTAAATCCATGTTGTATGGAAAGTTACAGGGTTGTAAAATATAAGAATTCCCAATGCTTGTATTAAAATACTTATAAACAGTATGAGAAGCAGTTTAATTTTGACTTTTTGACATTAATAAGTCACACGACAATACTCATTTGAAGTAATAATCTCACCTCGTGAAGTAGTTCAATAATAGTAAAGCACAAACTACCCCGTTATAATTTTTTTTTAGATTCACAGGTCAGGGTGGCAGCTACCACCCACCACACCTGTGCATTCATTACATTGTGGCAATTGTTTACAGAAATTACAATTTATTCTTAGGGAGAAACTGCAGAACAAGAGTAGGCCCTTTCACATAGCATGAAAGAGATTTTAAATCAGGAGCATAACATTTGAGGCTTCAGGAAATACAACAGCTGAGGGAAGAACCAAGAGATAAGACAGTATTAGAAAAAAACTGAGCAGATTAATGCAGAAATCCAAAGATCCACAAGATCTATGAGGCACTAGGAACCAAAAATATTTGAAAACTGTCAATTTATGTATTACATTACCAGTGGAATACCAATCCTTCCCAGGGAAAGATTGAAAGTGCAAGGTGAAAGCTGCTATTATGGATGTTACTACCTTCCAGTTTGAATCAGCAACTGTTACTATATAATAATGAGAAACTGGCTATGGACACCTTTATCACACTGCAGGTACCATGACAGATTCTGGAATATTTTTTTAAAAAGACTGAATTAAAAAGTTGAGGTGGGTGGGGGGCTTTAGTTGATTCTGGCTTTCATAAAGAAAAATTAAAAAATCCAGCCAGAAAGTCCTAAAGACCCTTCTTGTCCTAGAAGAGAATGACAAAATTTCCAGATTATAAGAAAAACTTACTTACTCCACAGTTATCAAACATATCACTGAAAAAGCCTCCCCCTTAAGACAGCATATAAGTTTACAAATCTCGGCAGCTTGCAGCTGGCCTCTTTTACAACATAAGGGTTATAGAGAATGCCTGTTTTCCACATCCTAACATGTGTCAATTTCAACACACCCTCCTTACTGCTAAGGAAAGCAGTGGCCTTTGAATGTATTGTTTATATTCTGCATCTGACCTGTTATGAGAAATAAACAAAGATACAACAAAGAAACATCACACTTCCAGAAAGAAGATGTACAGAGCTCCTCAAAATATATTTAAGACAGGCATTTTTTAAAATTCATTGCTCATATAGAAGATTTTAGCCTTTTTGTAGCATGGGCAAACAAAATTCAGGAGATCTACAAGCAAAATTCAGAAGACGCCATTCTCATGTCACAATGTCAATAACAAGATAAGGGTATAGCCACTTAATTGTGGAAGCAACTACTACAATGAACCTTTGCTTCGCAGTGTTCACCACACTTGAGCCAGGACCTTTAGAAAAAAACACAGAATTCTTTTCCTAAATAACCCTATACTGTTTCACATAGTTATTCAGGAGCCATCAAGTTCTGAAACAGAGGATTCAATGGATTTTTTGTAGCACAAAGTGATTGGACTGGGAAGTAAAATATAACAGAAAAGCTCAGTCTTTTTTGGACAAATTTGATTAACAAACACTCATGTGCCTATGAATCTGTCTTGGAAGCAGGTTCCTAAAAACAGCGACTGACCTGGAAAACCAACCCAAATTCTAACCTTCTTTCAAGACAACTATATAAGGAGAGTAGAAAAAGTGAACATGTGCATGTGTATGTTCACATGCATACACATTTGTGGGTATTTGTGTGCATGCACACACAAATACCCACAAATACTCTCTCCTAATTTCATTAGCACTGAAGTGATAAAGCCAAGTCTAAGTTCCTGAAACACACGTTGTTATGGTAAGTGCTTTTCCAAGTTGCAGAAGTACTGTGCAATGTGAGCCGGGTTCCCAAAACGTAGCTCAATGCACTCCCTGAACCAACCACAATGCTTTATTAACACTACCTCTCTGTAACAGGACAATTTTCTCACGCTTTCCTGAAAAGGAAAGGATTTCACTGGACAGTTTAAAAGCCTAAGTTAATGTTGGCCCTTCATCCACTTACTGTGAGTTACACACAGTGTCAGTTTCTTCCACTACACTTGTGGTTAAGACTAGCAAGGTTCATTCAGGAAGCATGTGAATGATTTCTGTTTTGTTAATTTCTCTCTTTCACCAAACTAGATACAATATCTAACCCCCTACATTTTTCTGTATTATTTCTTGTGATTTTAGCATCACTCTTCTCCCCACAGAACCCAATTTGCTTTCCTGTCCAATTCAGCAACAGCAGTCCTTCCCCCAAACGTGAAAGGAAAGTGAAAACATTGCAACATCTGTTGTAGTTGGTAGGAAGTAAATTTTAGCAATGAAGATTGGTGCATGGAGCACATCCTGTCATGGATACCTTCCCATCCTAGGCCATGGTCATTTGCAAATGTCTTTGAGAACTCTGAACACAGCTCAGGCAAAGAAGCACATGAATGACCATAGGTAAAAAGATGATCCCTTTTCCAGTTTCAACTGGAATGCAGCAGCAAGCAGAGAATTATGGATCCATGAAGTCCCTTATCCCTAAGAGACAGGGGCAATGACATTGCAGGATGCATTTCATACTTGGCTTCAGCCACAGAGGCTGGTCCTGCACCGTAAGGCTTTATTCACATCAGAAGACCTCCTTGGTCTCTAAGAAGCTCGTGAAGGGCCCCAAGAGCTTTCACCTGGACGTGTGTCGGGGGAAGTGTTCTTTATTTTGTGCCAACTTCTCAGGTCACGGAGGGTGGAGCAGTATCCTGCTCCCAGCGGCAGCTTCAGCGAGCTGTCGCTTGCCATCGACGACTGTGTGTGTGTGCTGGTGATTTTGTACCGTGTGGGGCCTGAACTGGCGCTCCGGGTGGAGCCGGCACAGCGGGCCCGCGGCGAGCCGCAGGCCGCCGCCGGGGGCCGAGCCGGAAGGCGGGATGCACTTACCTAGGAAACTTCTCCTTCAGCTTCCTCAGACTCTGCCGGGTGGGCTGCACGTGCCCCAGGAACTGGGCTATCTCATCGTACTGGGCTTTGCTCAGCTTCATGCCTTGCACCGCCAGGGCTGCGCGGAGGCGGCGGGAGAGGCGCGGGTCACGCCGGGCGGCGAGAGGCAGAAGGGCGGTGATGGCGGGGCGGAGAACCCCGGCAACCCCGGGAAACCCGTCGCTACCAGCCGAGCGCCCAGGCAGGCACGAGCCGCCGCGGCTGCCGCTTCCCGCAGCTCCGCCCCGCGCCCCGTCCGGGGCGGTGCGAGGGGGCGGTGCGAGCGGCCATCCCGCGCCGCCCGGCTCTGCGCAGCCGCTCCGGCGGGCCGGGGTGCGCGGCTGCCGGCCGGGCTGGCCGCCGTGAGCGCCCGGCATTTCCGGCGGAGCAGGGCGCCGGCAGCCTCACGCCTGGGGATGCGCCCTGTTTGGTGCACCGCAAATCGCTTCTGCCGGCCGCCATGGTGCTGCGAGGGCGGGAGAGCTGCCGGGCGGCCCCGCCTCCGGCCCCGGCCCGCAGCGGGCAGAGGGGGCCGAGGTGCCGGCTCTCTCTCGCGTACAGGGGCGCCTGCGCTGGGCCGCGGGCTGCGCGTCCTCCTGTATAACGCCTTAAAAGTGTAATTTGCAAGGCCGTTTTCGCATGTCACGCTGAAATGACTGTTTCTTGCTGTTCAAAGGGAAAACAAGAGCTGTAGTAGTAGAGTTGAGGATGCGCACATGGCATGCAGCCGTTATATGCACAGGGTAAAGGCTCCTGCTGAATTTTAGGGGAAAACCATCCTAGTTTGCGTTTGGATTTCCTTCAAAGTTTGTTAAGACTCAGGGCAAGCAATATTATTAAACACTATTTAAATATCAGTAAGTATACTTCAAGTCTTAGTTTCTGTGCTGGGTGTTTTTAGTAGCTATTACAATTTCAAAGACAGGTATGCTTTCCTAAAAACAGGATAAAAAGGCTAGCGGATGTGAAGAGAATTGACCGTGCTGGTGACCAAGAAATATAAGTACCCCTGTAGATCTTTATCTAATTGCATTCATGAGCTACCTACAAGGTTAGTGGTGTCCTAGTCCTGAGGTTTCAGGCACTTAAAACTATGGGTTAAGAACTGAATTTCTTATTTTTATAGATTTTAGATTCTGTTCCCTTGCTTTCTCTCTTGAAAGCTTTAGGATCACATTTTGAGGGGTTTTTTTTCAGTATCTTAGCAAGAAACTTTACTGTTTATTGCAAGAGTACAAAATTTAGAACTTCAATGAAGAGCAAGTAGGATGGGTGTGTCAGCAGGGTCAGTTATTAAGGTTTCTGATGGATAATGCTCAAAGAATCCTCTATCTCTTGATATCCCATGAATTTTGGTGAGTTTTGTTTGGAACCAGAAGCCCTCCTAGGAACAGGTGTTTCTGACACTCTGGCCTAAATATAAGTGTTTGAAACTCCTTAATTACTCCACAGTAAAAGGAAATGCAGTGAACCTAAGCCAAATTACACGTTCTGTTCCTCATGCTGAGACCAAAAAATAATAGGTGACATTGGAAAAAAAGAGCATTCTTTTAATGAGGAGTATTATTTAATGTGAAGATACTTTATTTTCTTTAGCTCTGTCAAAAAGCATAGTCGGTTATATGTATGTTTGGGAGGGAAGATGGTGTTCTTTCAATCTGATATCCACTTTAAAGGCCCATAAGGATATAATTTTCTTGAAACATTACTTTCTAACATGAGGGTTCACTGAGACCAAGAGGAGCTGATACCATGCTGTCATAGGGAGGTAACAGTCCTCAGATATGAACTGCTGCAGGGAAACATTTTGCATGGTGCAAAGCAAAACATAGATGAGAAGTTCTGTGTGCAAAGTATAAATCACTCTTTGCCTAAATTACTTAATGCAGAAATTTTGAAATTAAACATTCAAAAATCCAGTGAAGAAAAAAAAAAAAAGAAAAAAGGAGAGGTTCCTAGCAGAAAGTCCATTAAATACGTTTTTCCATCAATCAACCTGCCTTTCCAGTTTTACTATATCAAATAAACATCAGACCATCTGTAATTAAGTTGTGGACATCTATATTGTAAGATTATGTAGATGGTGGAAGTTTGCATAAATCAAATAAGCAGCTGGATGAAATATATAAGAAAAATAAAAGGTGGGAAAAACTTAAATTTACATTCGACTTAAGGAGACTGAGAGTGGCAAATGGTTGGATGCTGGAGGAACATTCTCAGGAAGTAGTTACTGTGTACTTGCTCTGTTCTTAGATGTTTCCATGGTGTCTGCATGAGGCAGCTGCTCCTGGTTTTTGCCTGGAGCTGGTTTCCAGTCTGTCTGTTTTATAAACAAAGTTTCCTTCCTAGAAGAAAGTAAAGAGAAAAAAAACTATGGGAAAAACAAACAGCTGGGAATGACAAACTGGGGGAAAAACGAAGAGGACATGTAACCTATTGAGGGAAAGTAAGGACAGGGAGAGAGAGCAAAACTGGAAGTCCTGGCACAGGACTTCCAGTCATGACCATCCTTCCTTGTAGGTAGTCTTGGGCACAGTTGGTGGAGGACGGTAAGTAATGGACCTTTGTTCCATTGCTTTTTTGCTTTGTTTTACCTGGTAGTATGCGATATTATTATGTGTCTCCTATTACTTTAATGTGATTGCATAGTGTGATTTACAGCTAAGTTCAGAGTTAAAATACCATTCATTAGTCTCCACAGAATAACAACTATATTTTGAGAATAGATAATTAGAGTATGATCTTAATACGGAGTCAATTCATGCACAATGTGCAAATTTTGATTTGGTTTTATGGCCTTATGTGCAGCTGTCATTTTACTTTATCACCCCATTTCTTCATAGGCAAAATCTCTGGTCCATGCTGCTTTCTGCAACAAAATTAATGAAAAGTCTGCTAGCACTCATATATAGTTCCAATCTATTGATTGTAGATGCTAATGTTGGGAGCTATGCTAAAACTAGAATATCACTGGCCACCATTTGGAGTGCTGGTTAGAATTGTCTAGTGCTTTTAATCCCACTTTATTCAATTTGGTGCCTGTACTTCGAGAAGTGTTTTTCAGTTGTTAAATCTATTTAATGGGATTTTTTTGTTGTTGTTGTGGAATTCAGCTCTTCTTATTTGACATTTTTTCATCGAAAAAAAACTTGATAATGCTTCCACTTAACTTGGTCTAATAAACACCTCCACAGGATACTGTTGTTACCTCATAAAAAGGGAGAACCCTCAATTTATGTTCTAATTTATATCCATGGGTTTTAATGTACTTTCTGAATGTGCTTGTATTGTGAAACAAACCATGGTATCTTCAGTTTGTGTTAAACAAACAAAAAAAGAGCAGTTGGTCTATGCATCACAAATGTTTTGCCATTTCACAAGACAGTAAGTCGCCCTAAGTTTTTTTCCTCTAAAAGTGTACGTGGGATTGTTTGACACCACAACAAGTGGAGTATGTGACATCAATAGAAGCAATAGAATGATTATATGTAGTAGAGTACCAATTAAAAAGGGCAGACATTGTTTTCCTTCTTTGTCTACAGATTTGTTCCTCATAATTACCAAAGTCATTGAAACAAATTAATCTAGTTTTCTGTACTATTATTATATAGATATGTTTCTATATAAAATACTTATTTGCCTGTTGAAGTACTTAAAAGGAAAAGAAAAAGTGCACTGCCACATATTGAGAATGTTACTTTATACTCATGGGGCCTGATCTATGGTCCATAGAAAGTCTATCAATTTTAATGGACTTGGGCCACTTCTGTGGTTCTTAGCTGCATGTTTATGTATTTTCTGTAACAAGATGTAAAAGATTGTTGAAAATGATGAGTTATTTAAAAATCAATTTCTGTAACTGAGATGGCAACATGCCCAAAGTGTTCTTACCCTACCACTTGACATTCCTGTAGTTTCACATGATGAAATTTCTGGAGCTTGGATTTGCCCTTTTAAGCTCTCTGTAGTCAGATATACAAACCTAAATGAAAATACCTTTCTGTTTTCAAATGCAATTATTTAAAGTTATTATTAAAGTTATAATTATTTAAATTATTTGAAGTAATTTCCCCTCTTTGTCTGTATTTGTTAAGACACTGTATTAACTGCTGTATACTGCTTTTTCTCCGAAGGATTTCAGCTTCATTCACTGTATGGAAAAAACCCCTGTAGTCATGTGATGAATTGGGTTTTTTTCTGAAAAACTCCCGCCTTATTTGTTGCAAAATTTGGAATACATACTGTTTGAATGGAGCAGGAACTGTAGAAAGAAAATTTAAGTGTAAAGATAATTGGACTGCTACTCAATGAATATGGATTCTGTCCTTGCCTCTATGTACTTTTTATGTAAGCTTAGAAGTAATTGGATGGAATTTTCTTTTCTTTCCATGTGTTATTTTTCTTTTTTTTTTTTTTAACACAAGATGCATGTTATTCTTTGCCAGCCATCTAATTTAATTACGTTGGTGCCATAAGCTGTTGTCTAAAGAGGTCATTCCAGTTGGCTCTGGCCAGTTTCAGAGTAATGCCTGTGCACTTGTAGTACCGCTACTGCTGATTGTGTGTGTACATGGTCAGACAGATCAGCTGATCCAGCTGAAAACCTAACATGCAAAAAAACCACCTGAAGCTATTATTTTTATCTAAATCAACTGTGAATTCAACTCACTGGACAGCCTTGAAAATAGAAGTGCCAACATACGGGAGGAAATAAGGATGCAAGGCTACCTCTCTCTGTTGATGGTAGCAGACCCTTGAGGGATTGACCTCACAATTTAGACCTCTAAATTAGGTGCCAGTCATTAAGCAGTATGATTATCCTGCATATGTTCTGCTAAGGGTTTACATTTGAGAGTGTTGTTGCACTAAATGCTAAGCACTGTCAATGGAGCTGAATTTAATGACAGTCAAACCTTGAACATACTGGCACAGTACTCTGAAAAATCAGGTCCTGGGTGTACTCTACTGGAGAGCCCAAAGCAGTAAACAGCTTTGGCCAAATCTTTCAAGTTTGATTTCTCTCATATACATATACATGAATTTAAAAATATATACACACGTGCAGAAGTATACAAAAATATACATGACAGAGGAGAATGTGTTTTGAAAATACATATACTAGTATATATTTTTTTGCTTGTGCTTATTCAATAAGATGCTGTTGTAATGCTTAATATGTCTGATGTGAACAGTTGGCAGTAAAGGATAAGTGAGGCCAAATTTTGAATTTAAGAGTTATAATA